AAACCGGAATGAACATCTCTCAGACCTTTCTGGCTTTGTTTCTCCTGCCTCACCACGACTCCAGCTGTGTTTTCACAGGACAGTCTTTGATGGCAGCAGCAGCTTAAGGGTATTCCTGCCTCCTAGACACCTTCTTCCCCCTCTCTTCTCCCTAGGCCCTAAATCCATTCATTCCTGCCTTTAGGCTGCATCACATATCGATCTGCGCTGCACTGGCAAAACTCTCAGCTCGGTTGTTCTGTGATTCCATCTAGGAACTGAACTGGCTAAAAACCAAATACACCACCCCATGACACTGTTTCTGTGCTGGGTCATTCTCCTGCTCTGGACCACAGCACAGGTGCGCAAACATCTTTGCCAGAAGAACCAGAGAAAGAAATAAGTAGCAAGGACATATTCAGGCAGTATTGTTGGTAAAGACTTAGGAAATCGGAGCCCACTGGGGGACAAGACCACCTTTTCCTTTTTAGAATGACAAAATACCTTGGGTTGGAAGGGACCTTCAAAGATCATCTAGTCCAACCCCCTTGCCATGGGCAGGGACATCTTTCACGAGATCATGTTGCTCAAAGCCCCATCCAGCCTGGCCTTTAACACTTCCAATGATGGGGCAGCCACAACTTCTCTGGGCAATCTGTTCCAATGTCTCACCACCCTCATCGCAAGAATTTCTTCCTTATGTCTGATCTAAATGTACCCTCTTTCAGTTTAAAACCACTGCCCCTTGTCCTGTCACTACAGGCCTTGGTAAAAAGTCCCTCTCAGTCTTTCTTATACATCGAAAGGCCGCAATAAGATCTTCCCGGAGCCTTCTCTTCTCCAGGCTGAATAACCCCAACTCTCTCAGCCTGTCTTCCTAGCAGAGGTGCTCCAGCACTCTCATCATTTTTGTGGCCCTCCTCTGGACCTGCTCCAACAGGTCCATGTCTTTCCTGTGCTGAGGGCTCCAGAGCTGAACACAGGACTCCAGGTGGGGTCTCACCAGAGCGGAGTAGAGGGGCAGAATCACCTCCCTTGACCTGCTGGCCACACTATTTTGTGCAGCCCCAGATACGACTGGCTCTTTGGGCTGCAAGTGCACATTGCTGGCTCATATCTAATTCTTCGTTCACCAGTATCCCCAAGTCCTTCTCCACAGGGCTGCTCTCAATCCATTCATCCCCCAACCTGTATTGCTATTGGGGATTGCCCTGACCCAGGTGCAGGACCTTGAACTTGGCCTTGTTGAAATTCACTAGAACTTCACTTTGATGTCTTCTGTGGACATAAAGAACTAGTCCCTGCTTTTGTCCAGAACCGATTGAGTCTTGGAGTACATGGCAAAAAAATAACGGTTACTTGATTCCTCTTTCCTTCTCCAAGGTTTAGTAAGTTGTCTCCAGCTGTCATCTAAGTTTTGCGTATGAGGATCTTATCCTATTTCTTTGTAGCTACTTCTTCAATGCTGGAATCACTGGTAATTCACAGGCCACTAGGTTTATCTAATCAGCGCAGTGGAAACTCTTCCTATTGCAGCCTCACTGTGACAGGTTGGGTAGCAGACACAAGAGCCCACCAAGGTCTGGGGCTGAGGAGGAGCACGTGCTTTAACCAGGTAAAGGGCCTGAATCCAGTCTCTGGGAGGTTTATGTTATATTGGGAAACAGACCTTTTACTTCTTCCTTCTCAGAAGCTGCATATCGAAAATAAGCTACTGACTGAGCTCTGAAAAGCCTTTCCTGAAAGTTTTACAGCCCATTCTGCTTTACAGAAGACCACCACATACTCCAAGTTTTAAAGCACCTTACAAATCTCTTTTTTGAGAAATGCT